ACAATAGCCTCCTATGAACTCCGTTGTAGCCCACTTTGGTTTGGGCCACAAACTCAAATTCGGCCCATGGAAATACGATTTCAGTGCTCCCAACCGAGGATGGGGGGAATTTTTTAGGTATTTTCGAAGCACGCCTATGCATAGGTAGTAGGAGGACTACAACCTGCCTTTACGAAAGGACACTCAAGCTTGAAAGGATATTGAATATTGCCATGAGACTCTGTTAAGTTCTAACGTTGTTTTTACTCGTCCCACAATGTGTATGAAACTAATTTTCTTATCGAGGTTGTTTCAAGAATCAAATGCATTTGTTTCACGAAAAACCAATATTTTGGAGAAAAAAAATATCCCTGAAGGAGAATAAGTTTATTGAGAATGTTTTCCTTATTAACAACATATGCTTACACATTTCGTTAATAAAGAAAAGGGAAATTGACACGTATAATCCCTAAACTTTGGTCTAATATACAAAGTCATCCTTAGACTTTTAATTCGTTCAATGTGACCATTGAACTATTCTTAAATATTCATTGTAGTCCTCAAACTTTCAATTTGTTCGATATAGTCACTTAACTTTCCATAACTAAGTCGAATTTGTCTGTCAGTGCTATTCACAAAATTCATAATTACACTTTTGCCCAGATTTTTGGATATCTTTCCCTTTCAATCATTTTTCTAGATTAACAAAAGAAAATATATTGTCTTTTTATTACTGTTATGATCTTCATAAGTATTATGATAGTTTTATTTAAGTCTGTTTTAGTGTATGATCTACTAGCAGCAATGCTAAGCACAAGCATAAAAAATCAGAGGAAGTAACAGAAATCCTTAAAATCTCAAAGGAGGTAAGACAATGTCAAATCATGGTAATATTAGCCTCAGGGAATTGGATGTGAAATAACAACTCTGGAATCTTGGAATTGATCAACTAAGGACGCCGACTCAAAAAAAATAGAGTTAGTGTAAACTTAAATTAACGTTAATGTCGCGAAAAACCCAAACTAATACATCTATAACAAATTTACCACAAATTAATTTCTTAACCATCAAAAACCCCAAACGGGTAAAAATGTGACAAATTTACCGTCCGTTAGTTTCCGTTAAATTTTATCATCAAACCGCTGAGTTGGATGACAAGTGGCAGTTCACGGGTATACCAATTTAGGATTTTATCCTCCGTTTGTCATAGGTGTACTAGTTTATGATTTTTCGTGGTATTAATTCAATTAACGGAAACTAATAGAGGGTAAGTTTGTCACAAATATACTGGCTTGGGGCTTTTTATGGTAAAAAAAATTAGTTTTTGCTAAATTTGTCGCAGGTGAACCAGTTTGGGATTTTTGGAGATCAAAAAATTAGCTTGGGGTAAATTTGTCACAGCAGTTTAGGATTTTTCATAGTATTAACCCTTAAATTATTGGGCACAATGAATGGACATGTCAAACCTCCATGATACCAAATTCAATAGCCGCGGAAACATGCTACTGCCAATTCGGAAATTTTTTTGTCAAAGTAATATTTCATTCATTTCCACAAAAATACAATAGAGATACAATGCAGTCTAATTACAACCCAAGATAAATTTCAAAGATGTTCAAAACAAAATAAGCTCCGAATAACAAAATGAATACCAAAACAAGGTTAAGGGTCATGCTCAAAGAGCAGATCTATGACTTCTTCAAACCAAAATCGGTAGGTGATCACTAAATCTTTCTTCAGCAATGAGCATACACCGAGATCTCCATCAATTACAACGGCTTTGCCTTTTGGAGGTGCGCGCTTAGGTACAAAGCCCTCAACACCATCGTCGTTCAAAGTAAAAAGGTTGAACAAGTACAGTTTTGCCACCAATTCCGAAGATTTTTTTTTTATCGCAAAAGAGCATTACTTTTATTGATAACTTGAACATAAACCATAAGAAAGTACCCACCCATCGATGGCCGCGTTGGTTTGCGCTCAGTTCCTTTCACGAGAGGTCCTGGGTTCAAAACTCGCCATCGGTGATTTAAGTGGGGGGTCGTGGCGGTGGGATGCTGCGCTAGCCCCCCTCGAGGACTAGTCGGGCATCACCGCTGGTTTGAGCCCTAGCTCGCCGGCCGCGCAGACACCTCGGTTATCAAAAAAAAAAAACCATAAGAAAGTTCGAAATCATAACATAACAAAGACCAAAAAGAATGGGGGGCTTAGTAAACCAATTCGAGCTTAGAGAATCGTTCCGATGGGCCTTCGCCACCTAGTCCACGGGTTGATTAGCATCCATGGAACAAAAGGCTAGAGACACTCCTAGCAATTGGGCCATAATCTGATGACAATCCTCAACAATGGACCAGACTACCCATGGGCTTTCGGTCTAGCCCAAGATGTGAAAAGTAGTTGATAAGCTGTCACACTCTACTCTCACCCGTAGATCAAACTTCTTGCTCCACAAATCGAGAAAATATTCGGTGGGAACATACTGCCAGGTCACCTGCTGATGTGGCACGCATGTGTCCAGTCAGCACCAGTGAAATTTTGACACGTGTAAATTTGAATCTTCTCAAAATAAAGAAAAGCAAAATTAGTTGATGTCAGCCTAGCCTGCTAAAGCAACCCATCCGTGTCAGCGCAATTAATGCTCTCGAAATTTCAATTGGGCGCCCTTTCTCCTTCCGTCGTTGTCTCTGCTGATCAAACTCTTTTGTCTTCCTTTTTTGCTCTTCTTCCTCGTTTCATTTTTCTCTCTTTTTCAGTTTCTGAAGGAAGAATTTCTGTTACGAAAGTGCAAAAATCCACTTCGCACAACAAAATAGAGGTGCGCTGCGGGACGCTCTGGTTTGCGCAAAACAGAGGTGCTTTGTGGGACTTCGCTCGGGTTCGCGCAAAACAGAGGTTTGCGGCACTTCGCTCCGGATCGCGAAAATCAGAGGTGCGTTTCGGCCTTACTCATATTTTGCATTCACAAAAGTCTCAATTTCGTAAATGAGCTGCATTTCGCTATTGTTCGATCTTATGTAGACTTTTCCCGATCCTATAAATTGTTGTATGTAAATCATGGCACATTGCTTTGGCACCACCAATCCGAATTCCATCAATCGACTAAAACTGAGGGTACTGGGGCGTGGATGAAGGGGTTTTAGAAGGCGAGCTTATGCAAGTGAGCTGCTGTTAACAATTATGAGGAACCCCAATGATGCTTGCCAACTGTTTGCGCAAAGGTCTACGCGTAAATTGGCTTAGCAATTGTGATTGTTTTCACAAATTGTGGTTGTTTTCACATATGATCCTGCAACGGAAGAAAGGAAAAAAAAAATTAATACCCTTGAACTCAAGCTGTAGTTGCACTGCTATGTATATTTCTTTCTTTTTTTTCCGTCTCTCATAAGTGCTGCTGGTTGATTGAAAAGCTTAGATTGAGATTGAAATTTCAATATAGAAAATAACAGTGCTACAACGAGCTGCAGATAAGATTTTTCTTTTCAAAGCTTGCAAATTAGTGGTTATGGTAGATAAACTAAAAGGTTGTTGCTAGATAGTTTTTGAAAGGTTTCCGGATAATTCACGTTTGATGATTTCTTTTGCTTGGACTTCATCTATTTTTTATTATCATGACTATAAGTTTAACTACCTATGACATTATGAAGCAGAGAGATGCGGGGGTTTAGCAATCCACCTTCATTGAGAAGTAGAAAGGTGCGAAGGTTGAGCATGGTTGACCGCGGTTAGGCATTCCAGCGTGACCACTCAAGTGCTCTCATCCTTCAGTCATAACAGGTTCTCTCTCTTATGTGGACGATTTCAGATTTGCTAGGCAAATTTCTTGTAATTGGTGATGACTGATGATGGTGGTCAGATTTTTTCTAACTTATATTTGAACATGTACGTGGCAGATTATTCCTAATCCCTGTAGCTAGCTTAGCTTGTTCTCGGCATAAATGGGTATGACCTCATCTTTTTTTTTGGGTAAGGATTATGACCTCATCTTTTGTTATAACTAAACTTGTTTTCACGTTATCTTTCTTCTTTCAATGATTAGAATTTTTTATTGTAGAGGCTCCCGAGGATAATAGTAACATGCATAAGGTCAATAAAGAATTTGAATTTAGAATTGGCATGACATTTGCTAATGAGGACGAAGCATATAATACATACAACGCATATGCAATTTGCAAGGGATTTGGAGTACGAAAAGGACAAAAAGCATACAATAGTAAAGGAATATTGCGTAGATGCACATATCTTTGTAATTGTGAAGGACACTCTCCACCAATCCCACTTCATGAATAAAGAGATGTTTATAGAACAGTGAAGAGAACCGGATGTCAAGCTTGCATTAAATTCAAAATTGAAGATGGAGTTTGGATAGTTACCGAGTTTAAGAATTCTCACAATCATCCTTTCATTGATGATAGACAAAAGCACTTGATACGGTCATATCGACACATTACAAATACTAGTAAAAGTATTTTGACTTCTATGGTCGGGGCGGGTATAAGGGCTACGAAAGCATATTCCTACCTAAGTGTTGAAGCAGGAGGACCAGATAATGTTGGGTTTATTTTACGTGATTGCAAAAAAAAATTACAATCAAAGAGAATGAACCTGATTAGTGCGGGTGATTGTCAAAGTCTCATTAACAATTTTAATTGCTTACAATCAAATGGAAGCAATTTCTCTTATACATTTCAGCTAGGTAATGAACAAAGGCTGACCAATTTTTTTTGGTCTGATGGTATATCCAAGTTGGATTATGACGGTTTTGGAGATGTGGTGGTATTTGATACCACTTAGCGTACGAATAAGTATAATATGATATGTGCACCTTTTGTTGGCTTAAATCATCATTGGAAGAATGTTCTCTTTGGTTGTGCATTTCTATTGGATGAAACTATTGGTTCATTTGTTTGGGCATTTCAATCCTTTTTGAAGGTAATAGGCGATAAAGCACCCAAGACTATTTTCACTAATCAAGATCATGCCATGACAAATGCCATTAAAATTGTTTTTCCGAATACTAATCATCATTTGTGTATATGGCATGTTGGGAAAAATGCTACGCATCATATTGCACATCTTCTTGGAAAGACAGATTTTCGCGATAAATATTGGCAAAAGCTTCTATATCGTTGCGAATCTAAATTTGAAATGGAGAACACTTGGAAAGCTATGTGTGAAGAATGGAGCTTGGGAGATAACAAGTGGTTGGATGGTATATATCGCTTGTGGCATAAGTGGTGTCCTGCATTTGGGTGTGATATTTTTTCCGCAGGAATTAGATCTACGCAAAGAAGTGAGAGCACAAATAATGTTTTTCAGGATATGGCATGTAAGACTATGACTTTGTCCGAATTTGTCAATCATTATGAAAAGCAAGCGGAAAAAATCGCAACACTGAAGTTGTTGATGATTTTGAGTGTGCTCGAGGAAAGCCACGTATTATGGTTGAGAATAGGGGAATTTTGAAACATGCTGCAAATGTATACACTCACATCATATATAGGAATTTCCAGGCTAAGTTCTTGCATGCTTTGTCTGAACATGTTCTTGGATCAGATGTTGATGGGCCATTGCATACATATATCTTGGGAACTAAAAGTAGTGAAAGGAAACATATTGTCCATTTTAGTCCGAGCGATTCTACCGTCACATGTAGTTGCAAGTTATTTGAAATGCAAGGATGGTTGTGTAGGCATATTTTGTGCATCTTGACTCATGTTGTGAATGTTACAAGTATTCCCTCACAATACATTATGAAGAGGTGGACAAAAGCTGCAAAGCAAGGGGACTCCTTTTGATGAGATCTGACAAAGTTCTCATGATGCAGTTCAATCAAAGACGTTGCGTTTGAAGAGGTTGATGCGGTTGGCTTTCAATGTTATGAACTTTAGTGTGAATCGTGATGTTACTAAGGAGCTTGCAACTACAACTTTGTTGCGTCTTCGCTCCCAAATTACAAAGAAAATGCAATGTTTAACAGATAATGATCATGTTGATTTCTTGGTGGAAAGTGATGAATATGAAGATGCAGAAAATTCTGGAATTCGAGTATGTGATCCCCTTTGGAGAAGACCAAAAGGTGTACCAAATACTAGATTGAAGAGCATCGGGGAGAAGCGAAAGAGAAAAGCCTTTTCATGTGCATGAGTCACCTTGCACAAGGTATAATAGCTTGTTTAACGTAAAAGAATGATTGCATCTATTTTTTACAGTTTGTTTATATGCACTTCTCCATTATGAAAATGGGTATAAGCAAAGAAATGCATGAAATAATTCCGGTACTGTCACTTTTTATGCAGGATTGATCTTCAGTAAAAGTCTGCGGTCATTAGAGATTGATCTTCCTTCGGCAAGCAAGTTCAATGTGGAAGCAATTTGTGTATCTGATCTCCAAGGATTTGTTTTTATTAGGAGAATATTTGGTTGTTAACAGATTAGTAGTTGTTTTGTTTTTAGATTCTATTTACAAGAGTCCCTTTTTGGCGATTAAGTTACTGATTGTAGATATTTGGTTGCTTTTGTATCTATCCTCTATGGCATATCGAAGGGATGTATATATGCACATGATGTCGGTTTTAATTCTCTCCCTCTTTGGGGCTTTAATGGAAGAGTTGGTCCACTTCTTATAATGACTCGTATGAAAGCTGAGGTCTCCTTGGCACTATTAGCCGGGACACAATCTCTCTAGTGTTGGTTATAACTAGAATTGAACGTAAAGATGTTTGCGTAGGCTTTATATTCATTATGCAATACCATACGCTGCTCTTTGCCATACATTGTTTTATATTCGCTATTCAAAGTGCCATACATTGTTTTGGACACAATTTAGATATTCGTTTCAAGAAAGATAAAAACTTATTCTTCTCTAAATTACTTTACAATCATATTAATAACAAGTTCTCATCTCAATGTCGATCCTGGGTCCCTTGGCACTCATAGGAGGGACAATCTCTTTCCCTTTGATGTCATAAAAAAATAATTAAGTTGGTTATAACTAGAATTTAACACAGATGTTTGGGTAGGCTTTATATTCATTATTCAGAGTGTCATACACTGGTCTGGTTTAGACACAATCTACATATTCATTTTGAGAAAGACAAAAATTCATTCTTCTCTAAATTACTTCAACAGCATAATAAAAACAAGTTCTACAGAATTATCAGGAATAACTCCTATAACTACCTATATAATAAAATTGAGATTACAATTCCAGTAAGTAAAGATATGATAACTCCATATAGTACTATTATTGACATAAAAAAGTCCATCCTTCTTCTAATTAACTTCAATTCTCTTTTCATGATAGCCATTTCTTCATTTTCATTTGATGCAACTCCTGACTCGGCTCCGTCGATATTTTTCGGTGAATAGAGCCGTAATTCCTCAACATAATCTTCAACCCATTGCACAAAACCACAACAGTTATCTGTCTGAAAAAAAAAATTCAGTGTAAGGCAAGATTAAGTATTACAACATGTCATAACATGCATAAATAATTTCTTAAAAATAGAAACACTTACATTACAAGTTAAGGCATAATATAATCTGCCTCGATTTATAGGATTCTTTTGCACTTTTTTGACCATGCATAATCTCCCTCGAGGACATGGACATATCTTGGATGGAAAATCAACTAATGTATTCGAAGATCCTCGAGATGTCATACCAAAATCATAATGTCATAGGTAGTTAAACTTATAGTCATGATAATAAAAATAGATGAAGTCCAAGCAAAAGAAATCATTGAACATGAATTATCCGGAAACCTTTCAAAAACTATCTAGCAACAACCTTTTAGTTTATCTACCTTAACCACTAATTTGCAAGCTTTGAAAAGAAAAATCTTATCTGCAGCTCGTTGTAGCACTGTTATCTTCTATATTGAAATTTCAATCTCAATCTAAGCTTTTCAATCAACCAGCAGCACTTATGACAGACGGAAAAAAAAGAAAGAAATATACAGAGCAGTGCGACTACAGCTTGAGTTCAAGGGTATTATTTTTTTTTTCCTTTCTTCCATTGCAGGATCATATGTGAAAACAACCACAATTTGTGAAAACAATCACAATTGCTAAGCCAATTTACGCGTAGACGTTTGCGCAAATAGTTGGCAGGCATCATTGGGGTTCCTCATAATTGTTAAGAGCAGCTCACTTGCATACGCTCGCCTTCTACAACCCCTTCATCCACGCCCCAGTACCCTAAGTTTTAGTCGATTGATGGAATTCGGATTGGTGGTGCCAAAGCAATGTGCCATGATTTACATACAACAATTTATAGGATCGGGAAAAGTCTACATAAGATCGAACAATAGCGAAATGCTGCTCATTTACGAAACTGAGATTTTTGCGAATGCAAAATATGAGTAAGGCCGAAACACACCTCTAATTTTCGCAATCCGGAGCGAAGTGCCGCAAACCTCTATTTTGCACGAACCCGAGCGAAGTCCCACAAAGCACCTCTGTTTTGCGCAAACCAGAGCGTCCCGCAGCGCACCTCTGTTTTGTTGTGCAAAGTGGAGTTTTGCACTTCCGTAACAGAAATTCTTCCTTCAGAAACTAAAAAAGAGAGAAAAATGAAACGAGGAAGAAGAGCAAAAAAGGAAGAAGAAAGAGTTTGATCAGTGGAGACAACGACGGAAGGAGAAAGGGCAAGAGAGAAAAAGGAAACGAGGAAGAAGAGCAAAAAAGGAAGAAGAAAGAGTTTGATCAGTGGAGAGAACAAGGGAAGGAGAAAGGGCGCTCAATTGAAATTTCGGGAGCATTAATTGAGCTGACACGGATGGGTTGCTTTAGCAGGCTAGGCTGACACCAACTAATTTTGCTTTTCTTATTTTGAGAAGATTCAAATTTACACGTGGCAAAATTTCAATGGTGCTGACTGGACACATGCGTGCCACATCAGCAGGTGACCTGGCAGTATGTTCCCATTGAATATTTTCTCCCACACATCAGTTCCACTTCGTGTACTTCGCAATCATGTCTTCAATGAGAACAACATGCCTTCCCTCATTGCTACAATGTCAGCTACGAGGGCCGAGGGAGAATGGATTTTCTTGGCAAAGCTAGCCACAAGGAGCCCCGTGAGCGTCTCTATTGTTAGAATATGTCTCGAGTTCAAGCTCATTGAACGAACCCGACCCGAATTGATTTTAGTTGTATAAGCTTGATGCAGGAAAGTTGAAAATATAAAATTGCAGATTACGGACATTATCTACGGTGCACGAGTTGTGATTTAAGGTAGTTTCCAGATTTAAGTTGGAGTCTGCGGCTGGAAACTGGAAAGTCCAATATGGACTTTGAGTTAGACATTGACTCGGTCAATGTGTCAGACAAAGAAAGAAAGCAACGAAAAGATTAAAAAAGAAGAACAAGAAGAAAGTTGGGTTGGTTGACCGAATCCCAGTTGGATTCTATTTCCTTCTCCAACACGGTTGGTTATCTTTGATGACGATCCAAAGATTCATTAATCCCTTGCGGTGACTTATATATATACTCGAGGGTGCACACCGTAGAGGACGCGAAGAGAAGTCTTGAAGCGCCGCGGTTGACATGAAGATATTCTAAGCGAGTGCTTGGCATTGGGTTCATGGATTTGTTCGTGAAATTACACCAAGAGTTCAAGTGTTAGTAGCGAGTAAATCTTGTGGTAAGATTTGTGTATAATTCTTTCGCGAGATTGAGAGATTATTTCGTGAGGAATTATGGGGCTAAATACTGCGTGAGTTATTGGGTGTAATTGGGGCTTGGGAAACACTTAGAGTGTTTGAGTGACTCGAGTGTGGTTGTAATCTCCGTTGTATCGCTTGATCTATAGTGGAATTCCGTGCTGCTCTCCCCGTGGACGTAGGTCATTACGACCGAACCACGTAAATATTGTGTCCGATTAATTTTCTTATTCTGTCAATTTTATTGTTCGATCGCTTGGCTTCCACAACATCTACAAATCCCAACTATTGATCCTGCTCGACACTCGCTGCACCAGGAGGCGTCGATGTTCAAATTTAGAGTTCCCAGGGGCAGCGGGAGCCAATGGCCAAGACGTACACTTCCTTCTCTTTCCTTTTTCCTCTTTATTGGATTCTATTTTGGAGTTCATGCGAATTGATGGCTTCCTCGAATAGATGGGTGGGCTTCGGTTTGCAATTTCTAGACACAATGGCATTTCTTTCCTTCCAAATTAGCCATTGAGAGCCGGCCAAGAGAGCTTGTGAAGATATGTCAGCTCGGGAAGATAAGTTTTTAGAATCAAGGGTCTGACCATTTATGTTTCGTCCAGTCGCACAGAAGAAGGAGATGCTCGGGGGATTCTGGGCCTTGACAGTATAATGGACAAAGTAGGTCAGGTGCCATTTTCCTCTTATAGAGATTTTCCTTTGTTGGTAGTGCATTGTTACGTACACTCCGTAGGAAGTAACGAATCTTGGGGTAGGATTGGATCTGCCATATTGTAGTCCATAATTCTCTAGATATGATGATGACACTTGGCTGGCGTTTTGATGTTTGTCCTGAGAACATAACTTGTTATACCCACCATTCACCGAGTAGGCACCATTCCCCATTACCTATCCAAACTAGCTTGTCTGCCAAGGGGTTAGGGCTGAGTGGGATTGATAAGATCTCTTGCACCACACTCTCATCGGATAGCTCAGTCAACTCCTGGATTTTCCACTCTTTTGTCCCCTGATTTATCAGCTCTTGATTTATCAGCTCCCCTACAAGTTGGGTGTCGTTTTGGTTAGCTAGACCACCGATTCTGTCTGTAGATAACCATTTGTCTTCCCCGACATTAATTCTTTTTCGTCTCCCGCTAACCTTCTAACTATAGGCCTATCAGCTCCCTACCCACCAATAGACTTTGCTATTCCCAAAATGGGCGATGACTCTTGTTTGCATTCCAAAACTTAAATTTCTTTCTTTTATTAGAATTTAAATATTATTTAAATTTAATTTAATTTATTATATTATTTTAATTAATTTAAAGAAGTTTCTTGTTCAAGAAAGTTAGTTTGACACCCCCCATAATTTTTTTTTAGTTCCATTCTGAGGACTTATATTGAATTTGAATGTGTCACAACTTGAAAGACCCTCCTTGCAAGTAATAGATTCTTTTCACTACCTGGCTCTATAAGACGTTAGGTGTTTGTACGATACGCCATGCCTGTCTTCCTAGCATTGTCTTATTGAAGGCAACAAGATCTTGAGTCTTTCCTCATATTCAAGGATTCCCATTTTCTCTAGTGAATTCCTCGTTTGGCAACGTTTTGTTTTCACCAAAAGAATGCAATTTTCCTCTCAACCGATTTACAAATCAAGATGGGAATTTTGAATATCGACGTTGCGTACTGTGGCAAGGCTTGTACGACTATTTTAACCAGATAGAATCCTTTCTCGCTTTTGTATGACGTTGGAATTTTCTGATCTCGCTTTTGTCATCAACTTCTCCTTCCACTAGTCTAATTTCATGTTGACCCTAGCTAGAATCCATGCAAACATTGTTTCTTTGATTTCCCCTAGTCGGAAGAAATTCCTAAATACTTTCCAATCTTCTCAATGATTGGGACCCTTAGTTCACCCACAATATTCCTTTTCAATTGCTCAGGATAACCATTGCTAAAATAAATTCTAGACTTGTTCAAATTAATAGCATGTCTCGATATATAACAATACTGGTTCAAGATGTTTGCCATATTCTAACATTCCCTACCCGTCCCGTCCAAGAAAAAGATTACATCATCAGCAAATATGAGGTGAGATAACGCCGGGCACCACCTATTCAATTTAATACCCCTTACTGTAACGACCTGGGTCCCACTCGCAAGATATTGTCCGCTTTGGACACTAAGTCTTCACGGTTTTGTTCCTCCGAAGGCAGCCCATACTACCCTCAGAAAAGGCCTCTTACAAGTTAAGGCTTCCCAAGCCCTTATAAACTAGCCCAGGACTCCCCCCTAGGCGATGTGCCATCCTAGAAGCCTGCCAGGAGCCGCTCCTTGTCCAAGCCCTCTGGCCCCGGCGACCACTCCCCGCCCTCGTTGGACCGGGTCGTTATATTCTCCCCTCCTTCGAGCACAGCGTCCTCGCTGTGGCCCCACACGTGGTCGGGAGTCGGCTCTGATACCATTTGTAACGACCTGGGTCCCACTCGCAAGATATTGTCCGCTTTGGACACTAAGTCCTCACGGTTTTGTTCCTCCGAGGGCAGCCCATACTACCCTCAGAAAAGGCCTCTTGCAAGTTAAGGCTTCCCAAGCCCTTATAAACTAGCCCAGGACTCCCCCCCTAGGCGATGTGGGACAAGAGACATGCCCCCCCTTGCCATCCTAGAAGCCTGCCAGGAGCCGCTCCTTGTCCAGGCCCTCTGGCCTCGGCGACCACTCCCCGCCCTCGTCGGACCGGGTCGTTACACTTACACTACCATCTAGAATCACCTTGCCCAAAGAAGAAGACAAGATAATGGCCATAATGATGACCAAATAAGGCGATAAAGGATGCTCGTCTTATACCGAGGAAGGCCGGAAGTATTGAAGAGATTCCCTATTAAATTTCACACCGAAGGAGACCAAGGAAATACACTGTTTTACCATATGAACTCAACGCTCACATAATCCCATTTTTAGCTTTCTGCATGTCCAACTTAAGAACCACTTGAACTTTTCTTTCCCTCTTTCTAACACGTAGTTAATGCAACACTTCATGAATTATTAATATATTGTCTTGAATATGTCTACCACTCACAAAGCTACTATGTTTTGTGATAATGAGTTCAGGAAGCCAGGATTTAAGACAATTAGCCATTACCGTAGAAATGATTTTGTAACTAAAATTGCATAAGTTGATAGGTCTATATTGAGTGATGCTTTATGGAATTGCCACCTTCGGGATAAGAGTAATATGTGTTTTATTAAGAGTAGGATTGAAAATAAGTGAGAAAGCTATCCATCATCCAGTGCCCATTAAGCCCGTCTGGACCTGGTGCCTTAGTTACTCCCATTTGAAACACCGCTTCTTTCATTTCCTCCGATGTCACTCCAAGCATTAAGGCCATATTCATGTCATCACTGTCAAGTCGTAGGCATTGATCTAATACATGCTGAAAATTCCTAAGACCCATGATTTCATGTGAGGATAAAAAAAAGTAGGATATCAGAGTGCTAGAGGGGTTTGGGAGTAGATTTTGGGTATGAACGAGGGCAAATGGATCTTTTTAAGTTGGGGAGATGCAAAATGTAGATTTTGCAATTTGAGGAGGGTATTGATATGGAGAACAAAGTTGAAGATGGTTTTTACAATTATTTCAACAACAAAAAAACTCTTTGTTTTTTTTTTTGGTAAGGAAAAAAAAAACTCTTTGTTTGGATGGCAATAAACCAATGTTCAATCGCAATGTCTCTCACTCATATTAACCTTGAACATCATTTCCGACACCCTATGAACGAAGCCTTACCCAATGCATGTGTGTACAATAGTTTCGGCAGCTTGTGTATACCTTTAGGGATTAATTGAGTCGAAAATACCTCACATTATAAAGAATTACCTCAATTATGAGTAATACTTAATTATATTCCTATGTTTAGACATTCTCCGTTTTGACTCATAAAAGGATAAGTGCATTGAAAGTTCATTAACTTGTCACGAAAGTGTAATAAAATTTTAGTTAAAAAAATTAAATTTTAGGTCAAAACAATGTCGTTTTAATCTTGTATTTCGTGTTTTAGTTTTATATAAAACGACGTCATTTTATGCCATGTAGGAAAGAGAAAATATTTAAAAAAAACCGTATCAGCATTATCCATTAATCTAATTGGACGGAGTTAATAGAAGGACTCGATTGAATCAATTTAATAAGTTTTAAGACTTAATTGCACTTTTAGTAAGTTTTAAGACTTAATTGCACTTTTATAACAAGTTTTAGGACTTCCAATGCACTTATCTCATTCATAAATAGCATAAGATGGATGCCATTTCACTTATTTTACCGATTAAATGACGATACAATTAAATTTAGGCCTAATTCCCTAAAAGAAACTTAACTTTAAGTCCAATCCCAATTCTACCCTAAATTTTTTTTGTTTCATAAAAAACCCCACAACTTTAGATTCAGTCCAAATTCTACCGTAAACTTTTTTTGTTCCATTAAAAACCCCCAACTTTAGGTCATGTCATAATTCTACAGTCTAGTCCCAATTTTACCCTAAAATTTTTTTAGTCTAGTAAAAAACATCCAACTTTTAATTGAATTACAAATCTACCCCCGTTAACCTCCGTTAGAATTTCTTGTTGACAACCGAGAGATGAAAAACTCCCAAGCACGAGCTATTCAAGCGTTTTGAGCTGAGTGTTCTAAGCGCCAGCTCTCTGGCCACGAGAGATAGAACACTCCCAAGCACAAAAGATTGACGACCGAGCGCAAAATTGAAGATCCCTAAGCGAGATAAAAGAAAGACTCTCTTAAAAGTAAAAGCAATTTAAGAAAACCAACCCTAATTACTCTAGTTTTTACTCAAGTTTCATATCCAAGAAGACATTTGGGCTTATATGGAAATTCATTTTCAAAAGGCGTCTTCTTGAATCTGAAATTTGGGGGAAAACTAAAGCACTACCGTGAAAATGCCACTTAAGATCACTAAGATAGATTTTGGATGGAGGTTCAATAGGGCGGATTTGGGACTCAAGTAAAAATTGATGATTTTTTATGAGACAAAAAAAATTAGAGTAAAATTGAAACTTGACATAAAGCTGGGTTTTTTTATGAGTCAAAAGAAAATTATGGTAGAACTGGAACTAAACCTAAAGTATGGGATTTTTCAAGGTATTAGGCCATTAAATTTGATGTATTTGTTCGTATGATTTATATATCTTGGTATGTTGTCGCGACGAGAAGACAAATACGTTTGGTTATACTTTTAGAGCTGGTATGTGTACATACAATATCATTTCTCCGAAGGTTTTTTGCCTTATCAAGAATTGTAATTAATCATTTTTGCGTAGTATCTTCTTTTATTTAAGTTTGCAATTCTTAAGGTCACAATTTTTCAAGAACCACTTCAAAATAACCTCGGTAGAATTTTGATTCTAATAATACCCTGGCACCATATAATACACATTTCCTCTTTCAACCTACCATATGGTTACCTATCATTTCCACAATCGTGAAGTTAACCATCGTGAAATCAAATAATTTCAAACTTCAGAAAAATTGTTGAAATTTTAAAAATTAAGCCACATTTCTTCTATCTACTTAAGTTTTTATAGAATAGTTGGCAGATCCACATAATTTAACATTGTATTAGAATTGGAGAGACTGTGTTCAAATCTTTTCAGACCCCTATTGATTAGACTATCAGGACTTAATACGTTTGTGCATGCATTGAGACATACCAATTTCTTATATTAACTCCTTCACCAAGTGGCTTTGAAATGAAGTAAAGGCAAGGGTTGACGATTCCCACTGAAAAGATTAGAGAAGAAACTACGAGGTTCGTAGTTGTCTTCAATGGGTTTGTGTAAGTGGCTTAGTCCTCCAATTTGGGAAGAAAAGAACAAAGGCAATGCATAGACTCGACCGTAGAAAAGATACGTTAAGCACAGCTAGTCTCATTTCCATATGATTAATAGCCAAAATCACCGGCTTTTCAGAACTACTCTGTTTTTTTTTTTTTTTTCACCACAACAATGAATCACCTGTCTTTTCAAACACAAGAAAGCTTCTCTCCAGCATCAGCTACTGTTATAGAGCAAAGCAATAACTGTTCTGGGCTCAATAGCTAATTTATACACCGATAACTGAGTGAGCATTGTTGTCTAATACGAAAGAAGAGGCGTTACCATGACATTGCCCCGATTTTGAGGTTATATAGCTTGAAATAGTGGAAGATCTGGCAATGCAGGTCATCAAGAAGCGGCCTTTCACGTGATGTGGGCAGTGAACTGGTGATGCACCGGGCACAAAAATGGCCTCCTTCGATGTCCTTTAAGATTGGATTATAGAAGTGATCACGGATGAAGTGCCGCAACCTTTCGAGACAAAGCGTCGACAACCTTATCATCAGCCTCTGCAGTTGGTTCCTCCTGCTGTCAAAACAGGGGCAAAAGGGGGAGAAAAAGGAACATGCAAAAGATGTTAAGAGATACTTTTACATGAATTATAAAGTACACTTGATTATTGGAAAATCGAATATTGAACAAAGACCACCCAAGAGGGCAAGAGAAGAATCCCGTAAGTACATAAAACTCTGTATTTCAGGGATTCTCAGGAAATATTGCGGGAAAGAAAAATCTTTTGGACACATTGAAAAGCTGAGCTAACACGTTGAAGTGAAAAGAACCGTCTAATGATGTCCCTTCTCCAGCAGAAAAAAAAATTATAGAACTGAATTATTCGAGCCAGAGACATCTGTTATATCCAACTACCATTTACATGCGGAAATAGCTGAGTTTCAAGAGACAAATGACCTTCTGAATGGAAGAAGAAAAAGAAATGGCAGCTAAACACTTGCATCAATTCCAACATACTCAACTACGCAGTCAAAAGTTAAATTAGGAACCAAATCACGAGAACCAAGTATGATAGTTTACAAGAAAAGAACACATCAATCGATGTTGGGTTCTCAAAATGTCTCAAAAAAACACTATACAATTTTGAAAAGGCATCTTAGATTTTTAAAATGCTTGAAACTTGTCTCATTCCATTAATTTAACAAAACCAACTACAGCCATCAATAGGATTGTGTCCCCATGGTGCTGTTGAACTCACATGAGCAACCGCAAGTTTAGATCTAACTCACCTCGGCTTCTCTTCCCTTGACAACAACGCACTGGGAAGCACTTATGCTAGAACTCTTCAACAAGCTTCGAGCACTGCAGTTTGTCGTGTAAGGGCCATTTTGCGCATCCCCGCTTTCTGTAGCATTAGACTGATGCGTCCTCGGAGGGCTATGAAGAGTCGTAGCTACGGTGTCTGTGCTCCGCTTTTCAATATCACTCTTCTGTCCAGCAGCTTCATCCTTAGGTTGGCAAACCCTCTCTCTGAAGGTGGGAAAAAGCAGAAGGTGAGTCACATTCACTAAAAAACTCTCAAACGATCCGCTTCAACATTGTGGCGAAAATTACATAGCATGTTTGTCATCCAAGAAGACAATAGGAGATTAGCTGAAAAGAGTTGTACAAAACTACTGGGTCCATCTGTTAAACTGAAGATAGGCACAGCGAAAGTAAACCTATAATCCAAGCTATGAAGCTGATTATGCATTCCTCAAACTCAAAAGAAAAATACTCAATCTCATCATAGACTACCTAGGCAAGGAAGCATGCTGCCTCTGTAGGGGAGTACTTCTTTCACCTCTCCCATAGTGCTCCTCAAGATGTGCAAACTGCCTCTTGAACCGATCAACACCACTAATCGACAGAAGAAAGATAGAACAGAGGATTAACGGTTGCAAAACTGCAAGTATAAGGATTTGCACACTATAACATACACAGCTTGCGCATGTACACGAGACATAACATAAAGAGAAAAAGATCAAAATAAACTATAGACTGTAAGAAACCAAATTTAAGACACGATGCAAAGCAAACAACAACAGATCCTCTCACATATGGTTTGGAATTAATATTACTCAATCTAAAGACATCCATAAACACGTCACCTACTACAGCAAATAACTGAACAAATATGTGTAAACAATAAGCAACAAACTCTTCAATCCTTATCCCTGCACCTTCCTGAGCGTCTCCACCCCCACCCAAACCCCCCAACCTCTCCCCCCCAACCAAAAATATAAATAAATAAATAAATGGAGAAAAAAGAAAGAAGAGGTCACACCTTGGGTACATAAAGCTCATTTGATCACCGCCACGAAGATACTCCTGGAGCATTTGAGGATGATACTCTAGAATCTGTATACTTCGAATTCAGGATGAATCACAGTTAAAAACAATGAGCAACAACCACCAGAAAGTTGAACTGGTGCTCAGATTTCATAGCAAACCTCACGGTAAATTAACTCTCTGACATCGTCCTTTGTAAGTTTTAGCCTTTCAAAATCAAACTCCATCTTCGAAATGGGATGAGTTGATAGTTCCCTATCCACATTCGCCAGTCCAAGGAAATAAGGATGAGCTAGGGCCTGTATTTGGAGAACCAAAATGTCAATGAGGGCATAATCAAAGAATAAAACCAAAACGTGCTAGCTGCAAATAGCTGTCAGATGTTTAACTGCATCTGCTCCGCCATCAGAATTAAAAGTAGATTCATCAATCAATTCAGAAAGTCATTTAACCGTGCCTGACCTCTTCAGCAGTTGGACGATCTTTAGGATCAAACGCAAGTAGACGCTCCAGCAATTGCAGGGCCAATAGATCTACATTAGGAAATTTTTTAGAGAAAGGAATCGGTTGCTTCTTCCTCATGCTACCGAGGTACCTTCTTGCTTTTTCATTGCGAATCTGCCAATGTTACAGGACACAAATCATTAAGTAAGGTAAAAGAAAGACGCCTAATTTCTTTATTAGGTGATGTTAATCTGGTGAAAATTAACACAGATACAAAATGTGTGCTAAATTGATTAATTGAGCAGAATAGTTTGCAGCGACAAGACAAGTGTGAAGTGGGAGGAAGAAAAATATTCATCATCAGAAAATGCACCTATAACTGCTTTCTATAACTAACCCTTGCAATGGTCTCAGGTGGAGGAGTTCCAAGTAGATCAGTCATGATATCCAGTTGGTGCACCACATTTTTACCCGGAAACAGGGGCCTTCCCGTGAGCATTTCCGCAAATATACATCCTATGCTCCATATATCAATCGCAGGGGTGTACTAGAAAGCAAGAAAACAGCTGAGAACTTGCAAGATAGTCCAGAAGGTGATTAACAATTAATAGAATCTCATGCACCCAAGGCAACAGTAACGTGCATATGAAAGAGCATAATCCAACTTAACAATGAAGAACTATGGACATAGATACTTCCAATAATTAGCATCTAAAATCTACATTCTTGAACAGTTTTCCTAAAAAAGAACCAGTATATTATATACAATGCAAATATAACAGCAGTTTACCTTGGAGAAAAAGGAGCCACAGAGTTCAGGAGCTCTATACCATCGAGTAGCAACATAATCCTGCGCACAAATAAGAAACTTACCAGATAAGTTCCTAATGAAAGATCTAATGAAAAGCTAAGTTATAAAGATATCAAGACCTTTGAGTAACATAAATTGTCTCAGTAGGGATGGACCACCTACCGTCCAAAATATAGCTGATGGGGCATCATTGAAAGATACTCGCGCAAGCCCAAAATCACAAATCTTCAATTTACAGTCAGCATTTGCAAGTATGTTTTTTGGTTTCAAATCACGATGGAATACATTGGCTGCAATATTAGGGGAGAACAAAAAAGGTAAGTTCATCTACAAGGAAGAAGTCGACCAAATCAACAAGGTAGACACACCTGAATGTATATATTTAAGACTGCGGAGGAGTTGGTACAGGAAAAATTGGTAATGCTCGGGAGTAAGATCGTCATTTGCCTTAATTACTTGGTGCAGATCCGATTCCATCAGCTCAAAAACAACATAGATATCCTTGAATTCTCGCCGTGATGGAGGAAGCATTACATGTTTGATTTCCACAACATCAGGATGGCGAAGCAACCTGAGGAGCTTGATCTCTCTCAAAATCCGGGTGGCATCAGAAACATGCTCAAAGACATCATTAATTTTCTTAATGGCAACTTTTTCTCCAGTATGAGTATCGATTGCAGAACCAACAACTCCATAACTTCCTTTCCCAATCACTTCTTGAACATGGTAACGGCTAGCCTCACCATACTCAGTAAAAAATTCTGTTTCGAGGGCTCCCTGCATTGAGACCAGGCAACCATTAGTTGTATAAAGAAGGGGAGGACAAAATTTCCTCCCTTCTTCTCACACCATTATAATGATTACATTCTGCAGCAGTGTGCCTGATAAGACTAGTGATGGTAAAAAATTTAGAGTTCAAATACCACATATATACTACAAATAGTCTTTGAAAGATAAAATTGGATGCAATACCACATTGTCCTTAATGAACTCCAACAGCTCACACATTAATTAACAAAGGAGTAATGAATGTAGATACATCAGATGAGAAAAGGGCCACTCCCAAAAAGGAGAGTTGACTTACTACTTTCACTATGAAAATCCTATCAACTATCGACGACACTTACAATAGCATCCATGGCGACACCATAGATATAGAACTAGTCCAGCATATTTAAGACTGCTAAAGTCGATCAGGATCGACAAACAACAGAGAGGGGTTAAAGCCAACAAGTTAGTCAATGAAGGGAAATCACGAGCCTCCAGATCTCTCAGAGCAATTACATGCCAAGAAGGACCCCCTAAAATAGAAGGGTCATTATATCTTGGCCTTTAAACAATCATCAATGGAAGAATATTTCGACCCCACTGCTCAGTTATAATGACAACAGGGTATCTATAGGAATCTATAGTACTTTCTCAGAAACTTCAACCAACTGAGATCCACATCATGAATTCTGAAAGACTCGGACGAGACAAATCTACCAACGGATTTGAATCGAAAGCCAAGTCTCCTTGCGAACTATCTCCTGCTCAACCAAAAGTCAACCAGTACGTGGAATCAAACGAAAACTACCCATGATAAAATTCTTCCGGATGATCCTATTCGTACCCATTAAACAAATATTCAAAGCGGCAATAATCACACAACTTTCGTCGTATTAATACAACCCCCACCAGCCCAGTCCATACTAAATCCGAAAAACCCCACTCCAATCCCATTTTCAAAACTGACAATCCCATTTTCAAAACTGACAAACAAAACAAGATAAACCAGACCCACCACGTAAAATCAGCAAATCGCCACGAATACTTAATGGGATCAGAACTAATAAGAAAAAGCTGACCTTTTTATGGGAAGGGAGCGCCATGGGGCCAAGATTGAAGTAATTTCGCTTGGGCACTTTGATGGAGCTCAAGCCAGAGAGGTAGAAATCTTCGACGACCGAAAGCTCTTGCTCTGCTTCCCCTTCTTCCCTTATCAGCGACGACTGCGCGCGTGATTCGCTCACGGAAACGCTCGCTTCCCCAAAGCCGCAATCTTTTTCGGTATCGTTGCTTTTCGGATCGCGACTGTGAGCGAGGGACGTGGACGAGCGACGTTGATGGAACCAGCGACGTACCCCGTCAACAAGACGTCCACCCCCCATACAAATCTTGAACGAGGCCAAGTAAAGGAAGAAAGAGAAAAAAAAAAAAAAAAAACTTATAGCTTTGGACGATAAAGCCTTGCTGGGTCGCCGAGGCAGCCTGTAATTTGCACCATCGGCGACTGGGTCTCTCGGTTCTCTCCCGCCTCAACCCCGCTTGCGCAATGCACACGACGTGGGTCGCTTCAATATCTCTCTCTCTCTCTCTCTCTCTCTCTCGCACAGTCGCCGAGAAGTGCGGCGACAAGAGAGCGAAGCTGACGAGGGAGCAGGTCGTGCTGCAAAATGGTGAATGTCGTGGAGATTAATAATAAAGGCGAGGCCTTTGAGGTTCGGTCGGGTTCGGGCAAGCGAGTGGCTTCGTGGGGTTCCGATTGCATTCGGATACTGGTCAAAGGATCGGTGTTTTTTGGCAGTCGCAATCCCGGGATCGATCAAAGGTTCGTGCTTTATCATCCTCTGCGCTCCTGCGCTGTACTACAGCCGATACGCGCTTCCAGCTTGCTGGACTTCACAAACGCCACTTCTTTTTTCTCTCATTTACTTTTTGGTTTCTGTGTTTGCGTAAAGGAGCTGCTAATCATGATTAACGACCAGTTGACCATGTATAGATTAGGGGCGATGGGCCGATTCCACTCTAGAACTGGTCTGGTTCCCGGGTTAGTCCGGTTCTCGGATTGAACCGGCCCGATTTAGGATTTTGGCAATTTTTTTTTCTTTACTTTTTAAAAGAAAATGGAAATTTTAAAATAAAATAAAAAAGCATATAGTCCAGCTTGGGCTGTTCGGTTCTGCACCTGGAACAGGGAACCAAACTGATTATTCCAGGTTCCAAAAATTTGGAACTGGAACAGTGCAGAACCGGCCAATTCAGTCCAGTCCGATCCAATTTCCGGGTTGGTCCGGTTCCCTTACACCCCCTAATATAGGGATATGTACACTAGAAGTCCTAAAACTTATCACAAAAGTGCAATTGAGTCCTAAAACTTGCAAAAGGCGTAATCGAGTCCTAAAACTTGTCAAATTGATTCAATCGGGTTCTAAAATTAACACCGTCTAATTTACTGACGGAAAATGCTAATATGACGCTGACGTGTCTTGTTTTATTAATTTTCTTGCGTCCAACAAGTGCCACATCAGAAAAAATTGAAAAATACGAATTAAATTAGAAAAAGCTATAAAAAATAAAAAGAAAAGAAAACCCACAACCAACGACCGTGGCGGTGGCCAAGCCCTTGTCGGTGGCTGCCGCCACAGCCGCCCGGAAAGGCCGGCGGAAGTCGCTTGGGTCTTCCTGAAGCCCGACGACCCTCGTCGGCCCCAAGTGAGGCCCCGGCGAGGGCCTACAACCCCCGATCTGGGGGAGGGCCGGCAAGGGTTGCACCCTCCCCCAGATCGGGGGCTGCAGGCCCTCACCGGGGACTGGCGGGACCTCACCCGAGGCTGGCGAGGGTCGTCAGGCTTCGGGAAGGCCCAGGCGACCTCCACCAACCCTTCCCTGTGGGTGTGGCGGTAACCACAGCCTGCATGTTATGGCTGCTCTATGTTTTCTTTTTTTTTTTACTTTTAGCTTTTTCTAGTTTAATTTATATTTTTTAACTTTTTCTGACGCTATGCTTGTTGGACGCCACATGTCTCAAGAAAATTAATAAAATAAAACACATCAGTGCCACGTCAGCACTTTCCATTAGTAAATTAGACGGTATTAACTTTAGGACTCGATTAAACAAATTTGACAGTTTTAGGATTCGATTGCACATTTTGTAAGTTTTAGGACTCAATTGCACTTTTATGACAAGTTTTAGAAGTGAACATATCCCCCTATAATATATGCTACTTTCTTATTTGAAAATTTAAAATCCATTTGTCTCTCAAATGAATAATATGAAAAACGTTTTCTTAAATAATCGTTTATATCGATTGAAATAATTATACTAAAAATATTTTCGTTATCAACAATAAATTACGTCTAAACATTTTTGTAAGTATTACGAAAGATCATTTTTAAAAAAATATTTTTAAAATTATTTATTTTTCGTGAAATAAAAATACCCTTGCTAAATCGTTACAATAACAATCGTTCTTTTATTCAAGTGTTTACTAACAAAAATCCTAATATAAAATAAGAGTCCGTTGGAAGTCGCTTTTACGTCTGAGTTTTGACTTTTTTGTTAAAAACGGCCAGAGCACTTTGACTTTTTGCAACCTAAAACATATGAATTTCAAAAAGGTCTTGCAGTATGATGTAAGTTCACCTATAATTTTTTGAAATATCGATGGTGGTTTTCCATTGTAAAGAACCCGGGCGAACAGATCTTCAAATTCTTATGTTCGTTGCTAAGGCTGCGAATGGTAACCATTCTGTTTCTCTATTTCTATTCCAGAAATAGGTTTGGAACAGAAATCTGTTTGGTAACGAAATTCCAATTTCTATTTCTGGAACAAATTTTTGTTCCAGAAATAGGTTTGGAACAGAAATCATAAGTTAAAATTTTTTTCTTCTCTATTTCTGGAACAGAAATGAGAAACAAAATTTTTTTGTTCTTCTCATCACTTTCCCTCACTATTAGCCGGTCGCTCACCCGCCGCGCATTGCCGGCTGCCGCCACCCGCTGACCGCCGCCACCCGCTGATCGCCGCCACTCGCCGACCGCCGCCACCCGCCGACCGCCGCTACCCACTGCCGGCCGCCGCCGTCGGCCACTGTCTCCAGCCGCCACCACCGGCCACCGTCTCCCGCCGCCGCCTACCTCCTCCTTTTACCGCGGCCTACGCCGCCACCCACCTCCCACCCCCAAACCTCCTCCTCCTCTCGCCACCGCCGCCCGCTTTGGCCGGCCGCCCACCTGGCGACCGCCGGTCGCCGTAGGCCGGCCATCGTCTCTCGCCACCACCCGCCTCCCACCCCCGGCCTCTCTCCTCTCACCACCGCCGCCCACCTCCCACCGCCAGCCGCCGTCCACCGGCCACCATCTCCCACCACCGGCCGCCCTCCTCCCACCGCCACCTGCCTCCCACCGTCAGCTATCGTGGGCCGTCGCCCGCCGTCCACCGGCCACGATCTCTCGCCGGCCGCCGTGGGCCGCCGTCCACCGGCCACCGTCTCCAGCCGCTAGTCGCCCTCTTTTGGCCGCCACCCACCGCCGACCACCATTGGCCATTACCCGCCGTCCATCGGCCACCATCTCCCACCATCTCCCACCGTTCTCCCGCCGCCGCTCGCCTCCCGCCGCCGGCCACCGTCTCCCGCCGCCGCCCGCCCTCCTCCCGCCACCATCCACTACCCGCCAACCACCCGAGAAGAAGAAATTTTGTGCCGTTATCAAACAAATTTTTGTTTCTGGAACAGAAATTTTGTGTCGTTATCAAACGTGTTTTTTTGCTAAGAAACTCCTCTAGGAACAGAAATAGAAAAATCAATTTCTGGCCAGAAATTGATTTCTGAAACAGAATGGTTACCATTCGCAGCCTAACTGTTTTATGACTTTAATGGTGAGAATGAATAAAGTTTCTGGGTTCCGGCAGAAAACGAATGATTAATAAAATATTTTCCTAAAAATGATAATCGATCGAAATAATTACTCAATGAAAAATGTTATCATTATCGACAATAATTTATGTTTAAATATTTTCATGGGCGATAAAAATATTGATAAAAATATTATTTCGTCGATTCATTTTTGTAAATGAGACGAGCTATCACTTTTAGAAAAATATTTTTCAAATCATTCATTTTTCATAAAATAAACGCACCCTTAGAATCCATTTGTTTCGCGAAAAATGAATAATTAAAAAAATATATTTTCCTAAAACTATCACTTATATGCTTACAAAAATTAACAAACGAAAATATTTTCGGCATCCATGAAAATGTTTATATATAAATTTCTGTCGATGTGGAAATGTTTTCAATTAGCTAATTACGTCGAGAAATATATGAGATCATTATTTGGAAAATATTTTTCAAATCATTTATTTTCTATGAAACAAACGGAGCCTTATATGTTGCTAAATTTCCAGAAAAAGATAATACGGCAAGTTAGTTGTAAAATTATTTGAAAATTAGATTGGACGTACCTTTCGCCGGGTATGATTTGACAGTAGAGATTAATCCATCAAAGTCATATGGTCCTCAATGCCCACGCAGTTGAATCTATTTTAACGGGCACGAAATGTCTAAGAATTACTCATTTTTAATTATGGTTAGGATATCGAGTGCAATTGTACGTTAAGTCTTTTATCAATCACGACGGCCCTCGCATTTCACATATACCATTTAACCACCAGAGCACACAAAGCAGTCCGTGCTATATGACCTTAGCCAAAATTCGAATCGAAGCCTCAGGTCAAAGACGATCGATATAGTTCACAGTTTATTTCCATCCTAGGGAAAAAATTAGGTCACCCATGAATGCACCAATTGTTTATTTTGGGTTGATCCATAGATTTGGGTAAACTCCTGAGTGACTTCACGAATCAAATTTAAATTATTTGAGCAATATCTTCTAATATTTTATTTTTATGATAATGTTTTAATTGGGTGGTTGAATATAGTGGTCGCTATTATTGCGACTGGTTGAATTTACTTGTTTGATTAGTCATAAGTTTGTTGGCCCACGCCTAAGTTTGGACAGAGAAATGATTATTGCGTTGCAAATTGACAATTTTTATCGAAGATGGATCCCGAAATTGGATTGTTGTGGTCTTGCGCCATCATCATAACGACCGACGGTCATGCTATATAATATATAATTTTTAGGAAAACGTGAAAGTCATAAAATTTATCATGAAAGTGTAATTAAATTCTAAAATTTTGCAGAAAGTACAGTTAAGTCTTAAAACTTAAGGTTAATACCATGAAAAACCTCAAACAGGTACACATGTGATAAATTTATCACAAACTAATTTTTTTATCACCAAAAACCCAAAATCGGTATACCTATGACAAATTTACCCGTCGCTAGTTTCCGTTAAATTTTACCATCAAATTGCTGAGTTGGATGACACGTGGTAATTGACGGATGTATCAGTTTGGTTTTACCCCTTTATTTGTCACAAGTTACCAGTTTGTGATTTTTCGTAGTATTAATTTAATTTTTTTTTGCAGATAGTATTAATCCAATTTAATAGAGGGTAAATTTATTACAAGTGTACTAGTTTGGGATTTTTTATGGTAAAAAAATTAGTCAAGGTAAATTTGTCACAGGTGCATCAATTTTGGATTTTTTGCGATCAAAAAATTAGTTTTTTGGTGTATCAATTTAGGGTTTTTCGTGGTATTAACCCTAAAACTTATCAAATTAGTGCAGTAAAGTCCTTCTGTTAACTCCATCTAATTTGGCTGATGGAAAATGCTGACGTGGTTTTTTTTTCTCTATTATACATGGCGATGACGTGGTTAAAGCGACGTCGTTTTGATCCAAATATGATTTTAATACAATTTTTAATAAGCTAAAATTATAAAAATTATAAAATAAAAGAATTAGAACCAGGCGGTAAGGGCTTTAATTTAATATAAATAAAATTTATATTAAAAAACATATTTGGACCCAAATGAGGTTGTTTTAGCCTTATATCTCATGTTTTAACCACCACATCGCCATGTATGAGAGAAAAAGTATTAAAAAAAAGTCATGTTAGCATTTTCCATTAGCTAAATTTGATAGAATTAACAAAAGGAATCGATTGCATCAGTTTGACAAGTTTTAGGACTTTATTGCAATTTTTACAATTTTTATGACTTAACTGCACTTCCGTAACAAGTTTTAGGACTTTCAGTGCATAAATTCCTATTATTTTACCTATGTCAAATTCCGGTTAATTCGTTTTATTTTTTGATTTGCCCTTTAATATGGTTAAAACGTGCTAAATTGTCGATCCTACATTGTGGTTTATAAAAACGATAGACGTTATCCGTATTAATGTTTAGGTGTTATCAAACATTAAACAAGATTGAAAAAAGTTAGCCTATCCAAGCTTCAAAACAACCTCAAAATCACTTGCTTTTGTTGCAATTTTTTTTTTGTTTTTGCTTTCGGAGTGACTAAGAAAGATATATATTTTTTTAATTTGCACCAGATACATGATAATTCCTTTTGCGATAAAATAAATGTCCATACGAATTTAAATTCAATTCTAAACAAGCGATGCGTGCGCGAACTTTTTCAGAGCCTTCTTAAAAGGCAAAATTGTATCGTTTCGTTAAACAAAAATGTTAAGTGTTGGTAAATTTTTGTAAGGATTAGTAACAAATGGATAAAATATATGACTGGTAAGTGCTTGTACATTATATTGTTTGTCAACAAATTAGAAAATCTTATAAAACTATCGATTATTATCTGCACGACCTACTAAAGTTTTATATTTATTAACTTTCATACGAAATTAACAACCTTATTTGAGTTATTTGTCAACTTCTCTCTGATTAGGTGACTACTAGCTTTTGGTTGCTTAACGTTTTCCGATTCTACCAGGAAAATAATATCCCATAAGAATTTGAAGAATTTGTTATAAGCATATTTTATTGGAGCCTTTAATCAATCGTGCTGGGTCAGAATCCCTTTTTGACTCTATGCCAGTAATTCCACTATTATCAGTGAACAATAATGGAACATTTCCTTCATAGAGTTGCCAACCCTTATTCGATTCACTTACGACTCCAAAATGAAATTTTCAATATTTGTTTGATTTTTGGAGATTACCAATTTTTTCAATAAATTACCAGATGTTCTTCCGATAAGTGTACCAACATTATAAGTTTACCTTATATAAAATTACGAACTTTAATTATGAGCTATTTGATTAAATGTTATCTAATTAAGTTACCGATTAGTTTTAGATTACGAACTCGGATTCGATTAATTTCCTAACATGGACAGTTACCAAATTGTCGGCTCTCATGATAACCTTCTGATTTTTATTAGCATAATTACCAATCATAATTATCTCAACTTGACTTGTTTACAATCTTTTTACCAATTTAATTTACTAATCGGTTTTAGCTCACCAATTCCAATCAAGCCATCAATCGAGCTTCCATTTATTTCGTGAAAAATAAATGATTTGAAAATTAACTTTCTAAAAAATGATCGTTCCTATCGCTCGAAATTATTAATAATTTATATCTCGTTTCTGCAAAAGATACGAGCGATCGATTGTACAAGAACATTTTTTTTTGAGTAATTTATTTTGGATTTGAAGCGAGGAAACTCCGTCTGGAAACTACAAAACTAATCATCATTATCCAGCGGGCTGCAGGCTCGGGAAGAAGATGAAAAGGAACGGAAAAAGACAAGAAAATAGCAAATGCCACGTCATCGATCCGCGCAGCCCCGATCCTCGGCCATCCCTCAACGGTCAGATTTCCATCGCCCATCTCCGTCTCTATCTATCCTCCTCGAAGAGACACAACAACGGGAGGGAAAAAAAAAAAAAAAAGGGGGAAAAAGCGAAACCCTCGCTTCCCCTGTCCGAAAGAAAAAAAAAAAATCTCATCCCCCCCCCCACCCCAACGTCTCTCTGACTCCCTCTCCGATTCTCTCTCTCTCTCTCTCTGTCGGATCCATGGATCCACCAACGCTCGCTCCGCCCTACATACCGCCCCCCTTCGCCCCCTCCGCCGCCCGCCGCCGCCCCCCGCCGCCGCCCGCCCCCGCCGCCGCCGCCCCGGAGGCCCCCGCGTCCGCCGCCGCCGCCGCCGCAGCCGCGGGCGATGCTCAGAACCACTCGACCCATGTCGCCGCGAACCCGACTCCGGCCGTCGCTCCTGCCCACAGCCAACCCCCTTACGCTGAGGTCAGTGAAAGTTTCTCTCCTTCTCCTTCTCTTTCTCGCTCCCTTTCTCTCTCGCGAGGCTGTTCTTGATTTTTGTGCGTGGGGTGAGTGATTTTGTTTCGCGGGGTGGGGTTGGTGGGGATTTCTTGATTTTTCCTTCTTGTGCTCGCGCAGATGATATACGCGGCAATCGGAGCTCTGAAGGAGAGGGACGGGTCGAGCAAGAGGGCCATAGCCAAGTTCATCGAGAAGACCTACACCGACCTGCCGACCACCCACCCGGCCTTGTTGACCCACCACCTCAAGCGCCTCAAGAACAGCGGCCACCTCGTCATGGTCAAGAAATCGTACAAGCTCCCCGGATCTGGCGACCCCGCCGCCGCTCCAAACCTGCCGGCCCCAACGGAGGGCTCGGAGTCGAAGCGGCGCCGCGGCCGCCCCCCGAAGGCCAAGCTGGAGGGGCTGCTTGCTGCTGCGCCGGCGGCTCCCGCTGGGGCTGCCGAGCCTGTGGTGGCGAAGCAAGGCCCCGACGGCGGTCCTGCGCCCATCCCTGTGCCTTTGCCCGGGCATGTCCCGGCCAAGAGGGGCCGCGGGCGCCCGCCGAAGAGTGGGTTGGTGAAGAGCCGGGTGGGCCGCCCTCTGAAGCCGAGTATGGTGGCTGTGCTGGCAAATGGCGAGCAGAATGGGCCAAAGCCCAGGGGCCGGCCTAGAAAGAATGTTGGCGGCGTTGCTTCTGTGGCTTCCACTGGCGAAGCGCTGTCGGTGTTCGGGAAGAGGCGGGGGCGGCCGCCAGGTAGCGGCAAAGGGAAGAGGCCAGTGGTGGCGTCGCAACCAAGGAGGAGCACAGGAAGACCCATGGGCAGACCCAGGAAGGTATGCATTTCTTTATTCATATGCTGCCAAGGGCAAATTACTTGGAGTTGTAGTACAGTGCCTTGTTAGTTTGGTCCTGAGTACATATGAGGAAGATGGAGGGTGAAGTAATGACATTTCTGAGCCAGTTCAGTGAGTAGTTAAGTGAGCTCTTGATGACGGAGGTTGGTTTTAATTTTACAAGTGGAATGCCATAAATTGCGGGGGGTTCTTTTCTCTTTGGTGGAAAAAAAATGCAAAACTTGAAAATAATTTCTCGTGTTATGGAAGTCGTTGGCTTGAACTCCAAGAGATAGGTCTAACTGCTCTCCTATGACTAATGAGATAGGTCCTTTTTGGATCTCATAAGTCCTGGTCAAATAACTACGAAACATGTTTAAATCAAGATTTGCTATGCTTGCTATTAAGATTAGTGCTCGGTTATTTATAATTTTTGCAAAGATGTGCATATGAAGAATCTTGTTGAATATCCTTTCTTTGAGCTTTTTACTGTGTGCATATATAATAGAAACCATGCATGTGACTAGTTTTTAACCTATCAAAATATTTGGTACAAAAGTACTACCAGAATAGTTAATTCTTGAAGGTGAAACATTTGATAAATTTAAAATTTTGAGTTATCCTCCTTTTGGGAGATAGAAACTTACATTCCCTTTTTGCTATAGTACGATATTATCGCATTGTTTTCCTAAAGAATTTACATGAATTCTAGAGTAGCCCATGGAAACTTCACATTGCATAGCTTAATTTTGGATCTGTTGTAAACAGGTAAGTTTCTGGTTGGAGTGATTTTTACTTTTCTTAACCTTCAAATCTAGCAACTCTAGAAGTATAGGTTGTTTTTTTCATTTTCAAATTTTTGGAGGGAAAGTAAAAAGTTCTATTATCTAATTTACTTGTAATTGTGTTGATCTTGATCCTAAAAGAATTTCATGAAGTTCGGAGCACAAGTTGAGGGATATAATTCATTCTTACGGATCTGATCCTAAAAAAGTTTAGCTCATATTGGGTCAAATGCTTGATCTTGTCTGATTTGGAGTTTCAAATCATCTATTTTGCATGTGATGGTGTTTATTTTGATTATAAAAGAACTTCACAAAGTTTGGAGCACTAATTGAGGACCATAATTCATTCTAAAGGAAGAACTTCTAACTTTAAGGAAGTTTAGCTACAAGTGCGATTAAATGCTTGAATTGAGAGGTTTCCAAAGCTAGTCTAAGAAAGTTTGATGCCCAAAAAAAAAAAAAACAGTGATTTGACTAAGCATGGATATCATAGCATTACAGAATACAATGTTTGTATAGCTACCAGAATTTCACTCATAGGTTTTTATTGTCCTTGATTAAAGCCTTCTTATTAGTTAATGGTATTTTTGACTAAGCATGGATATTATAGCATTACAGAGTACAATGTTTGTAATTTATCAGTTTGCATTTGGGATAGCAAAACCAATATCATTAATCTGCTCTATTGCTTAGCGATTGGAGTGATTTTTAAACTTGGCAAAATGCACCATTGGCCTATCTCCTTTGTCACTTTTATAATCATATATATTGGATAATATGCTTGTGAAAACATAAGGACATTTGGCCTTATTTTATGGTTTTGTGAAATAATTTTTTCTTTCCAATATATGCAGCTAACTGTAATATTAAATAGTACAAAATGAGTAACTGAGAATGTATAAAGAGTACAATGGAGAGTAGGAAAAATAAAAACTAAACAAGTTGGTGAAATTAGTTGGGTGTTTTGAAAAAATATTGAATAGATAGGAAAATTAATTAACGTTATCACGTAATGGCATTAATCACCTTTGAATGGATTATTTGATGACAATTGACATCAATCGATGTTCCTAATCAAGTGATAAAAATGTAATCTGCCAGATTTGGAAAATCCATACAAGTGTCAAGAGTTTTGGAGGATACTCTTCATGTCTATTAGTGTAGCAGCTAAACTAACCTAAATGCTGGTATACACTGGGATGAACTTGGTATTCTGGTGTCTCGTTGTTTCATTTGTGCCATTTTCTTACTTTCTTTACTTAGTTTCTCAAAACTTATGCTATTTGAGGAACAATAATTTATGTAAATATAATTGCCAAAGATGTTATAAAATCGTGTGATTTTCTAGTTAATTTTCTTTATGCCCTTGCTATGTCTTTTTATCTGGTCAAATGTGCCCTTGCTATGTCAAGTTGCATTTTCTAGTTAATATTTTTGTGATTGTGATGATGCTGCATTATTTGGAAAGGAATTTTTGTTATTAGCTACGCTTCACTGTACAGGTGAAACTAGCAAATTGTATCGTATTCAATGTAATAAATGAGTGCAACGGCTGATCTTTTGTTTGTCCTCAAATTTTATATGAGAAGAATGTGGCACTTGGAGCTTCTTTGGCAGCAGGGTCCAATGATGATTTTCGCCGGACATTGGAATATATTGTGAGTCAAAAATTTCTTCTGACTTAGGAAGCTGGCGCAACTTTTTATTTTCAACCAAGAACTGGGATCATATCTGTCTAATTATGTATGTGTTCTGTAGCAATTGAAGATCAAGGAAGCAGTTGGTGTACTCAGGCCTCACTTGACTAGTTCGATTAGTGCCGTTGATGCAATTCAAGAGTTGGAAGCCATAACAACAATGGACTTTGCTGCAGTGCCGGTCGTAGGCTCAAGCTCCGTCGCGCCGAGCTAGGGACAAGTTGCGCGGCAGTAGATCTTGGACTCTGTTGTGAGAATCAGAATAGATGGGAGGATCAGTTTAGCTGTACAATTTGTTCTAACAGAGACTTCACCAGAGAAGAAAGGGGTCTGTAAAGCTGAGTGTAGGGTGTGGCAAGTTCTAGTATTGGTTAGTATTAATTTGGTAGGAAGGATTTTATCCGAACATGGGAGTTCTTTTTCCTTTGTGTAGCAATCAGGTGGCAAATCAATGTTCCTCATTCGAGTTAATCTGTATTGTGTTATTGCAATTGCAAATCCGGCAACATTTCGCCTCTTTCCTGAAATAATATCGAATATTTACCAGCACTTGCTTTGGTGTTGTCTGCACTGTTCCAAAGGCTGGTTGCTGTCTGACTGTGGTGGTCATATATCTGATGTTTCCAAGTGTCCTTTCATCAACTTTGTAACCGTGTGCATGCTTTCGATGATTCTTGAACTCTTTTCAGACCCACTGGGCATCAGTGCCTTTCTTGTTCTTTCAACTCCGAATGCCAATTTTTGTAGATCATTGTGCTCTCATACGTAGGCTTGTTAGATGTCGTGTACTGATCGGTGCTTTCTGCGCCGAGATGCGTCGATTGAATCTCGTTCTCAACCAACTTCTTGGCATGTATATATGCTTGATTGCTTCGTAGCATTGTATGCTTGCAAAGGAAAACTACTGTAGTGTGAAATTTCAGAAAGGAAAAAAGTAGTCTGTAGGAAGAGATTGTGCAAGCCCTGTTCATTCATCTTGAGGGAAGCTGTAGTAAAGAATGCTTGGTCTTTGGCATTATCCTTCCCCCCAGTTTTAGTTTACTCGATTCGGACATGCTTATTTTGCTCGTGAGCTTTTTGGGTTTGCTCGAAATGCCATTCTAAACTCGGGTCTCCATCCTAATCCGGCGTGAAATACCCGCTCGCCGGAGAGTTTCATGCGGTGTGCGCATCTCTCAGGCCTCGTCGCTTTGCTGTCTGGAGTTATATGGACACTGATCTTCTCAATATGATCACCTTGTAGTTCATGGAGACCGCCGGAGGAGCACTGGACAAAGGCCGGACCGGATCATGTAGCCCGAGCCGATTCGGCCCGAGCTAAGTCCGGCCCCGGAGAAATCACACTTACATTCCTTCGAGTTTCGATACGCGACTCCATTACAATGTGTAATTCTCTATCGCATCCTTTGTTAGAACCCCCGACTATCGCATCCTTTATTTTTGGTAGAGTTTTATAATATATTTCATAGGTTAAAGGGCGTCCGTTAGACACTTGTTAAGCCTCGTTAAAATGTGCTTTGAAAATTATAAATTTCCTATTTTAAATAAGTGACTGTCGAATGTGTAATTTTTTTTTTAATTTTCTAAGCGTCTCGAAAAGAGTGAAGATCTCATCTTGTGGTAAACGAACACATGATTCGCAATATGTTTTAATCGAACATCGCACAACAATTGACAAAAGTACATAACAAAATAAAATTAAAAACACAAAAAATTAAGTTAAAAAAATTAAGAAGAACCAAAATATTGAAAAAAAAATTAAAACACAAAACTTCAAAAAAAAAAAACTATCTGCCAGAACTTGCATTTACCCAGAACATGATAATTATAAACCTGATTTATCTATGATAAAGTGTATGAATTAGCAAATATTATTTCAAATAAGCTTTTTTACTCATTACATTGGGGACATCAATACTAATGTCGAGTTTTTCTTTTCTTTTATTTTATTTTTGCAACAAATGAGACAAAAAGAAATTATATTTGGTAATGGCAAGTAGCTTTTTTTTTCTAATGGCATGTAATTTTACAACAAACGAAATATATATTGTGTTTACACAAAATATATCTCGTGTTTACCAATGATAACTTGTACTAACCAACGACTTGCATTTATCGAGAACTACTTATGTTTAACAAGATCAACTTGCATTTGACCGGAACGAGTTACTTTCACGATAAATAGTGGCAAACTTCACCTATCCGTCGTAAATGCAACTAATTCTCAATAAATACTAGCCGTGCTTCGTAAATATGATTAATATGTCTTGATAAATTTAAACTTTTCTTTCATCGTTTGTTGCGCAATATAATTTAGTATTACCGGTGACAACTTTTTTCTTTATTGAGTACTAAATCCAGGGCTACATTTACTTGAAAAAAGAGTCACCACAAATTTATACACTTTACCTCCATATTTGAAATTGTTTTTTTAATAATAAAAATAATCTTGATGAATTAAGGTGTATCTCTAATAGATAAAGTTCACCCCAATATGCATACTTTACTAAGCAAGAGTAGCTATTTTCATTTATCAAAATATAGGTTTGCTAGAAATAACTAAGCCCACTTCAATTGTAGTGAATGTGATTATTATAAAATGAAAAAGCCGCAAAAAACCTCAAATTATATTCACGGTGATACATTTACCCTAAACTTTTTTACGTGACACTAAATATCCAAAACTTGTACTCGCGTGACATATTTACCCTCTGTCAAAATTATGTCGACGAACACTATTAAAAATCTGCCTAAATGGACGACGAAAGGTAAACCGTGTTGATATGACGCCTGCGTAACTTAAGTGAAACAAAAACGATGTCGTTTTGGCTGTTTGAGGTTTTTGATGTCACAAGAAAAATTTAGGGTGCATAGTTTGAGATTTTTTATGTCACAAAAAAAATTAAGATAAATATTTCGTGGTGAATATAATTTTAGGATTTCTTTTATAGATTTTTCCCTATTATAAATGAATTGATGGCTTGAAATTGGCCACAAGAGCAAAAAAAAAAAGAATAAAAAAACAGAGAAATAGGCTCCAAGCTTTGTCCAATCAGAGTCCGAGAAAATTCCTGCTTCCCCATCTCTCTCTTTCTATTGGCTGTCCCTCGTTGTTTCCAAAAGTCGCGGCTCACTCTCACGCGCCCATTCCAGGGTTCTGCACCCCACCCCCTCCTATCCAATAATTCAAATTTCAATTCTAATGGCTTAAGGCCCGCCAAGCCGATGGGTCACATCAGGTTGAAAATAGTTCGACTCAAATAAAATCATTTAACCCGTTTTAACTCATTATCATGTACTACAAGACTAGCGGCCCATACATTACATAACTCATACTCAGTTCATACCCGACCCGATTCATATTTGTCGAAATACTTTCATAATTAACTTAATTTCGGAAAAATCATATTCAAACTAGCGTGAGAGAACGGAGCGAGTGAGCGCGAGATCGAGTGAAGGCGAAAGAGAGTCATACTCTAAGTAAATTGTGAATCCATTCAACACCCACATTATTTTTGGCTTTACCATTCTAAACCTGTTTATGATCTATTTACTAAATATAATTAACTCATATAGCAACTTCGCCTATCAAATATGGGTTAAGAAACGGGTGTACGATCCATTTTTACAGGTTTACTCATAGCATATATGTCCTCGAAATCTCGTTGACCTAATTTGTCATGAAATAAAAATTATATATCAAGAGAAAATAATTAAATATGATTTCCTTCGGCTTTGATGGTGCCATCAAAAGCTAAAAGGAGAGAGATAGAAAGCTATGGCTTTTGGTATGGGAATGTTGGGGTAATGGGCAAACGAAGCGCGTGCTGTCGACGCGCTGCGGGTGGCGACTGGGGGGAAGGGAAACCCACTCTTTCCCAAAGGTAAAGGAGGAGTAGATAAACACAGACGTTTGCTTTTTCGGCATTTAAAAGGCTCCAAAGACAAAAACCGCTTTGGACCACCTCTCTCTCTCTCTCTCTCTCTCTCTCTCTCTCTCTAATTAATAATTAATAATTAATTAAACAAGAAATGTTGGGTGTGTGTTGTAGAAAAAAAAAATTCAATATCTCAAAAATCCGCAAAACTTTTTCGTGCCCGGGTCGCGAGAGAGCACCCCTCGAGACGCTCGTTAATGGAAATCCCGTGACGTCGCGCCAATAAAACCGCATAATACGATTATCATTTGAGTCCGGCACGTGAAGCCTGCCAATTCACGAAAAGGAATTCGGGGGTTAGAATAAAAATCTTTAGAAAAATACGGTATTAAACTCGATGTCCTTGATTGGGTTACTTAGATCTCTGATTATGGGTCTGCGCCTTTTTTCCGGACGATGTTTGAATTGTAATTTGGCATCCTCAATGGCCTAATGTTACATATTGAATCGTGTTCCCATGGCAGCAAATCAAAGCTTGAATTTGGAAGCACGAACTGGTCCAATCTTTTCAACCTTCAAAGTTATATGGTCTTCTTGGTATTTTATCAATCTCAAAAGGGATACACTTTCAACAAAAGGGTACCTTTTAGCAGCCGAATATTTGTCTCTTTCTACTTATCCCAAAAAGCTTGCAAAAATAAGAAATACACCATTAATTAAGCACGTATTTTGCGTTTATTAACCCAAAAATACACCAAGAAAGCCGGAACTATATCCGCTGTAACACCATCACCACAAATTTTCTTTGTCATCAAAATCAATAAACTTATATCGGCGTGACAAAAATACCATCTATAAACTTGGCCTTGTGTGACATTAATATTACCAAAAAAAAAAAAATCTTGTCACTAATATCCAAACTTGCACTGGTGTGATAAAAATTATTTTTGATGACATGATATAATTTACGGGTCGGTATCAAAATGAGCATAATCTAGAGGTTTTTTTTTTGGTGGTATTGACTCTTTCTTTCTTTCTTTTTTTTTTTTTGGGTAAGGTAAGAATATGTATAACTTTTCAAATCACCAAGTACAACCTAAGCCCAAACCAGCTCATGACCATATTAGGACATAGTAATGTCCATACAAGGTCAAGAGGGTCCAGCAGGAACTATACAACAAGCCGAAGGACGGCTAAGAACATGGAAAATAAAAATAATAAGACAAAGACAACCAATCCAGCCGCAGGTTGGATGGGCGACACCAAAACTCCGGAAATCCACTGAAGAGGGCACCAGAACAGCTGGGAGCAGCACTACCCAAAGATAGAAGGAGGAAGGTCCCACTTTCTCTAGATAATGCGGTTCCTATAGGTATCCTCAACTGTCCCCATTGAAATAGCTTTGTCCTTCACGACTTTGAAGAGATGCTTACGCATACCAGGGATGAAAACGTTTTTGTTCCTGAAGATAGCGTTGTTCCTTTCGGTCCAAATAATGTGACATAGAGCACCAAAGGAAAATCTAGAGATGCGGTGGGCAAACGAAGATCCTCCGCAAACTTTCATAGCCCAGAGGATATGTTCTTGCCAGGGACGATTGCGCCAAGGTAGCCTGCAATTTGTCGCCCAAAGAGAAGCCAATCTACTGGTAGAAGTGCATTCAAAGAAGAG